TAAAGCCATTTATACTCACTAATATAGGTGAGCCTCATTCACTCATTTGAAGGATTGAAGAGCAAAATTTAAGGTTTCTCAGAAAAGGGAAAATTCTGCCTCAAGACTAGCATCAACCTCGGCCAAGATTCCATCTTGCAGTCTGCCCTACACATTTTGGATTTGCCAATTCCCACGATCAAGCCAGCCAATTCCTTAAAATAAATATTTTCACAGTCTGTCTCTCTCTTTCTGTCTCTCTCTCTTTCTTTCTCTATCACACACACAAATACTCTTTTCTCTATCTCACACACACACACAAATACACACACACACGTACGTTTCATTTCTCTGAAAAACCCAAACTGATACAGATATAGAAACAGAGATACAGACCAACAGAGATAAAGGCACAGGAAAATAAACAGAAAAGAAGAGCGAAGAAAAAAAAATTAGGTGGAACTATTTAAAGAGCTTGGGTCTCACTCTATAATTACTCTGTGATTAATGGAAATGTTCACAGTACTGCCCTATGAAGTCCACAATAGACAAGAAACTTAAAGCAACATTCCATTACATTGTTTATAGTTTGATGGTAATTTCATCTAATACATGTTGATCTCAATTCATTAAATACCTGTTTCACTTTGCCAACTATTTGTTTAAAGGCATACCACTGCATCAAAATGGTATTAAGACAAATTGCATTTTAACTTCAGTTTCTAATAAAGCCAAAAATGCCTTTTCAGCTCATCCCCTGCTCTTTTCCTTAAAGACAAGCAAAAAGAAAAAAAAAAGTTCATTATCAATATAAAACATTCCAGAATTCAGAATTGGGGGGTGGGAGGAAGAAACCTGGCAATAGTAGAAAACATTTCTAAAAATACCCTTATTGGTTTTCATGAAACCTCTGTGACCTGCAAAAAACCACTGAGGACTCTGACTCCTCCTTTACCCGTTCTGCTGGATCCTAGAAAACCTACACTGTGTTCATTCCTGCACTGACAATGGGGCAATGTCCTTTTAATTGTATGAAACTTTATTGAATTAGGCTGGATTTACAGCAGAATGTATACTCTGACAGATCTAATTTTAGTATACGTGCTGCTGACCCAAGCACCACTCCAGAGAGACACAACCTGAAGAGGTATACCTTAGTTGAGTCTCCTCTTCCATGTTTATTTTACTTGGAAACCATTTTAGTAAATTTACTGCATATTTAATTGGTTTTATTGAATATTGCTTCCAATCCTCCAAACAAAGTCTAGAAAAATATGTACACTATTCATAAGTCCTTAGCAAGGTTCAGGAAGTCATTGAAACTTTTTTTTTAAGATTTATTTATTCATGCATACAAGAACTGGGGTACAGGCCAGAGGTGGGGGGGCAGGGTGAGAGGATTCACCAGAGACAGAGTGGGGAGCAGAACAGGCAGACTGACTGAAATACACTGTTGATGGGAGCAGGGGGCAAGACAGGAGGGGGTCTCCTACACTATGTGGGTCACCTCCCTGGCTGGGGATCAAACTCATCCTGTAGATAGCTTCATAGTGCTGCGACTTAACCCCTTGTGCCACCAGGAAGGCCCCATTGAAACATTTTACACATACTACATTATTACCCTCACTTTGCAGATGAGGTGATCAAGGCACAGCAAAATTGGGAGACTTTTCCATATCACATGGTTAACCTGGAGGCAGATGCCAAAGCCTATACCCTCCTCCTGCTGCCCCCCATCAAAATACCATACACACTGCACATACAAGCACAGAGTGACAGTGACAGGGACCTATTCTGATCTGGAGAAAGAAGCTTCAGGATGTTTACCAGAAAGAGCGGTTTAGAATGCTAGGATAAACTAGCAAAGCCATCATTTGGTTCTTAAAATGCAGAAAAAAAGTTGTTAATGATCTCACTTAACTCAAGTTTCCCTGGTTCTCCAATTGATTAGAAATTAAGAAACATTTATCATCGGTGATAATGATCTTATAGAACACACACTTTCTTAAGTCAAAGTGCATCAAGAAATCACCAGAGAATTAACTGTACAAACATTTTTACAGTTAAGTAGCTATATGAGAACACAACAGGCAAAGCAACAACACTGGGTCCACACTGAAAGTTACTTCTCAGGTTTTTCACTCCCTTAATTGAATGGCTGGTTTATTTAACTGTTTCCTTTGATGTGATTTAGCAAATCAAAAAGGTGTTAAAATCCATTAGCCTAACACAAAAGTTCAGTGAATAGCCTCTGTGACAATAAACAATTACAACACAAGCCTCGTCCCAGATACCATAGATTTGCCTATCAGTCTAAAATTCCAGACAGCTGTGAGATTCTCCTTCCCTTTTCTTTCCTAGCAACTCTCCCTTTTCTCTGCTGTTTTGGCCAATTATGGCAGACTGACAACTATGTTGTCTAGTAGCCTCTTCTTACATCAATATTTGATTGCCTTCCATGTAAAACATGCTATTACGTTAATCAGAAATTGACTCTCATCACAAACACCTTTTAAATAGGTCAAATTAAGATAAAAGTCCATGCACTTTGCCTCTATGGAACCGGGACTCTAAACCAGACATTAATGTCAGCATGCAGATTAAATGTCATTAAAGGCAATTTGTCACCTACACACATTTATCTCAATCTGATAATTAGCTAAAGGTCAGACAGATAAACGTGTGTATTTGAATCTACACTTCCTGTCCTTTAGGAAAGGAAATATAGATTCAAAACAAGGCTGAAGGCTCTAAGCAAATGTGGGTAATCTTAAATGCACAAGCCAATTCGGAAAAATTCAACAGAATTAAATACTAGGAATCAGAAGTACAGGAAAGGCAAACTGAGAAGCAGTATAACCAAAGGAGGTGATGTAAGACCTTAAATTCTGAGCACCAGTTTTACAAAATCATTTTTCTTATCTACCTTTACCTAGCAGATAATTCAACCTTTTCCACATAATTTTACTACAGTATTTGTTAGATCTGCATGTTGCAGTCACCTCCCAGAGTGATGGATTCAGGATGCCCAGGCTGAAACAGACGGGCCTCTAATTCAGCCAGAAATAATCTCTTCTCCTTTGCTTCCCGTTCCCATTCAAGTTCACACTCCTCAATATAACTTTTTAGTTAAGAGCACTAATTCTGGTAAAGGTTTTTGCTTGTTTGTCCTTTTAAAAGGACAAGTTTATTAGGAAATTAAGAAAGAAAAAGAAGAGAGGCACCTGTATAGTCACAGGCAGGCAGGAGCGCTGTCCCTGCTGCTTTGCAAAGGGAAAAGTTTGTCAAAGAAATACCTGCATAATGGTTTCACTTATAGCAGGAATATAGGGGAACCAAATAAGACATCAAGTGTAAAAAAATAACAACAGTACAAGACACAACAAAGCAAAAACAGACAATTATAAATCAGAGACATCCTGCAGGGGAGGAGGTGGGAGAGGGATCAGAGGGACAGAGGGAGGAGCACAGGGGACTGAGGTGATGGTGCACAGGTGCAGTGGTAAAGGAAACTCTCTGGGGACTACACCTGAGGGGGTGGGAAGAAGCAAATATTGTTTAAAAATTAACAATGATGGAAAAAATTAAAAAAGAAAAATTATTAAATTCATATGGTAAAAAAAGTCAAATACTAAAAAAGGTACATAATGAAGCAAGTCTCCCTCTTATTCTAAACCACTGGTATCTAGACTGTCACTAGGGACAGGCTCTATGAAGTTTTCTTCCCAGTGTATCTTCCCAGAGATATTTTTCCACTGTATTATATCAAGTATAAATATAATTAAAAATTAGAAACAAGAAAAAAATATCTGTATAGTCACAGATGGGCAGGAGACCTGTTAATTTTGATAAAGTTAATAATAAAAAGAAAATTCAAATGGAAGAATGTAAGAGAAGTTAGGGAAACATTCTAGAGCATCTTCTACTGGAAGACATTCTTGGGGGGATAGAGGCTATGGGTGCAGAAAAGAAGGGAAGCAGGGATCACCCATGTGTATTGTACCTTATAAAATTGCAGGATACGGGTACTTTGGTAGTAGTGTGATGCAGTGACATACATCTGAGGGAGTGGGAATCTAGTCTCCTAAATCATATACAGTATTATAAACCAATGCTACCAGGAACATTCAAAATGCATCCAACTACAAAAAGTCTACCCCTTTGTGTAACATACTATGAATATAATGATGACCCAGATACAGATGCTGACCTCATGAACTGAAAATATCTCTGCTGGTTAGTATGAAAATAGGTAATTGCAATAGAAAGTTGAAAGTGCAAACTATGAACAAACTCAAGATGCAGATATTCAGAGATGCCTTTGACCTAGCTGGTACACAGATGAGAGTGGTGGAAAAGGTCTTCAATCAGAACTCCACAATTCTGATTTACTGATATTGTATTCTATTAAATGTTTTTCTAAAACAATGTTTGGTGTCTATTTGGGAAAAGATATGTCAGTGGCAGGAAGCTGGCAAAGGTCTTAACTAGAGAAATGGAACCATATCCTATAAATAAATGAGTCTATGTGTTTGGCAAATAGTAGGCATTCTACAAACACTGCCAGAAAACTCAACATAATCTAGTTGCATTAATATTCAAATTTACCTTTCCCCCAATCTATCTTGGCTATATCCAGTGTATCCTGGTTCAAATGTAACCACAAAGTAGAGAAAATGCAAGCATTAGAATAAGTAATGGGATATTCTGCTAACCACATGAGATTTATCTGGGAACCAACTATAACAGAACCAATGTAATAAAAGATGCAAAGTATGCTGATGTGTCCTCTACAAACCACATTAAACCATGTATGAGATTTTTTAAAAAATAAACAGATTTTTTTTAATTACCATAATATCAAATAACATCTAATCAACACTCCTATGTCTATCATTATTCTAAAAACTTGACTTTTATGAACTCATTTAACTGCCTCCACAACTCTGTGAGTTATGTAGAACAGTTTAAGTCACAATGTTAGTTAAATTCACCAAGGCAACCGAGATAGACAAGGCTGGACCCAGAAGCTCAAGCTTCAGGGCTTATCCTCAAGCCATGACAATAAAATGCCAGTTATACTGCTACTAGAAACTGCACTGACCCATCATTGACAACAAACATATATTGACTTGGGGAAACCAATGTATAATAAAAAAGGGAAAGACACCACCCAAAAAAAAAAAAATGGTAAAGTAAGTATTAAGGTATTTTATTTCTTACCATAAGCAATAAACCAAGATAGATTATAGGTATTTGGTATGATTAAGGTGTGATTTTGTGATATCCAAATACCTGTAATCCATCATTTTACATTAGAATACAAGTGAGATATATTGAGCACTATGTGCTATTTTTAAGGAATCTGAGTGTGAAAAATTGGTAAAACCATGATTTCTCTGACAGAGAAGAGAGTTGATGAAATAAAGAATTGTGAACAGGAATCAAATCAGTTAAATTTCAGCCTCTGCTTAGCTATAATAAGTTATTTTGAACAAGTCATTTTACTTTTAAGACTCTCAATTCCCTGACTTATAAAAATCAAAAGGTTAAAGTAGGCTTTTGTTGTACTGTTTAGTTCTAATACGGTGTGATTTTGTGAAAATCAAATGGCCATTGATTTTAAAATTCATATGGAGCCACCAAAAACCCCAAATAGCCAAAGCTCTCCTGAAAAAAAAGGGCATGGAGGCATCATAATCCCAGACTTCAAACTATACTACAAAGCGATAATAATCAAAATTGCATGGTACTGGAACAAGAACCGACACATGGACCAATGGAACCGAATAGAAAATCCAGAAAATAACCCACAGATTTACGGTCAACTAATCTTTGACAAAGGAGCGAAGGATATGCAATGGAGCAAAGAAAGTTTGTTCAATAAATGGCGCTGGGAAAACTGGGTCAATACATGCAGAGTAATCAAGAATGAATCTTGATTACTACCTCACACCATGCACAAAAACCAACTCAAAATGAATTAAAGAACTAGACATAAGATCTGAAACCATAAAATATATAGAAGGAAATATATGTGAAACACTAAGTGACATATACCTCAGTAACACCTTTAAAGGCACATAATCCAAAGCACTGATAGTGAAGGCAAAGATAAACAGCTGGGACTACATCAAATTAAAGAGATTCTGTGCAGCAAAAGAGACAGTAATCAAAACAGAGACACCCCACTGATTGGGAGAAAATTTTTGCACACAACACTAATGATAAAGGACTGATCAGAAAAATCTACAAAGAGCAGATAAGACTCAACAAAAACAAAGTAAATAATCCAGTCCAAAAAAAAAAAAAAAAAAGGGGCAGAAGAGCTAAAAAGAAACTTCTCCACAGAGGAAATGCAAATGGCCAACAGGCATATGAAAAATGTTCAACATCACTTGTAATCAGGGAAATGCAAATCAAAACTACAATGAGATACCATCTTACACCAGTGAGAATGGCACATATTAAAAAAAAATAATAAACTAGCAACAACAAATGTTGCCAAGGATGTGGAGATAAAGGAACTCTCCTGCACTGCTGGTGGGAGTGCAAACTGGTCCAACCACTATGGAAAGCTATGTGGAGATTCCTCAACCTGCTAAAGATGGAGCTTCCATATGATCCAGCAATTCCACTCCTAGCTATTTACCCAAAGGACACAGAAACATTAAATCAAAAGGGCACCTGTACCCCTATGTTTATAGAGCACTATTTACAATAGCTATGCTATGGAAACAACCCAGATGCTCAAAAATAGATGACTTGATCAAGAAGATGTGATACATATACACAATGGAACATTACTCAACAATCAATAAAGATAAACTCATGCAATTTGCAGCAAAATGGATGGAGCTGGCAGGGATCATGCTCAGCGAAATAAGCCAGAAAAAGAAAGAAAAATACCGGATCGTCTCACTCATAGCAAGAATTTAGAAAACCTAAATAAGGAACCAGGAAAAACCCAATTATAATAAAGTAAAAATCAAAATCAATAAGCAACTATAAACCAGAGACACACTAAGGGGTGGGGGAGTAGCATCAAAACAAGGGGGAGTGGGAATTGTATGGGGACGATAACCAAGATGAAAATGCATACATTGTGCAAAAAAAAAAAAAAAAAAGATGTAAAAATGTGCAAAATAAAAATATGGTCCACTTTTTTAAAATGTAAAAAAAATAAATAAATATCAGTCAACAGCACTTTGTGACACTGAATATGCTTCATTTCCTTCCATTGTAAATGTACAAATTAGTATGTATGAACAGCAAAAAGGGCAAAGATAAAGGATAGTTTATAGCTTAAAAAGAAACAATACTGTACTAATAAACCAGGGACAGTCCCAAAAAGGGACAGGGACACACACACAATTTTCAGATACTCCAACTAAACAAAGTAATTTGCAATTCTATGGGAGGCTTAATGGTGGTTTGATTTTGGGAGGCCACATGAAGCAGAGACCAAGGAACTGAAAGAAACACACACACACACAAAATTAACAAAACCACCAAGCCTAGATTCTATTCTCAACCTTCTTATAGGCTCTCACAGAAAGAGTTCTGAAAGGTCAGTTAACCTTTTCATCACCGAATTTCTTTCCAAGCTGTCCACTTCAGCCTTACAAATAGTTCAAAATGTGATCAGTTTTTTTTTTTAATTAAATATTTACAATGTTATTGTTTTAACTCCTAATTCTAAAGACGCCTTCCTGTGGGCATTGTGGCAGTGACAGTCAATCTACTTAAAAGAAAATAAAAACTGTAAATACTTGTGTGTGAGAAGAATGCCTAATCTGATGAAGAGGACAGGTCAGTATGTTGGCCCCACAGGAGATGCTCCAGCTAACTCTCTGCAGGGCAGGAAACCAGTTCCAAAGCCTGTATGTGGGAATTCTTGTTTGCACAAGTCATGGGCATTTGGCCTTTCATGAAATGACAGCATAAAGCTCAGAGGAGCACCACTCTGCCCTGCAGCTGTGGCCAAGACTGCAATGTTTAAAGGTTACAGTGATTAAGCACTGTGATTAATTTAGTCTCAGTAAAATCAATTCCACTCAACCACAAATCTCTAATTTACATACCATGGTAAGCGAAACTTGATCTGATCAATATAATCTGAAATTCTTAATAATCTCTCACTCTCTCTTCTCCCACTTTTCCCTTCACCTCCCCCTCCCCAAACAGCAATAACAGAAAATAATCTACATTCTTTTGCAAAGTTAACATGCTCTTTTATTGGGCTTAACAGTTCATTTTTTGACTTGGTTATAAGTGGTGAGAAGTATTAAACTTTAATCTGGATTGCTTCCTAATGGCAGATTTAGAAACTGAGTAGTTGAGGTTTCACAGCATTGCCTGGCCAGGCTCTATCACTTAAACCAGTTCAAAAACACATCGAAGTTCTATTTACCTTCACACCATACCCATTCCCACAATAATACTAACAGTTTGTCAAAGAGATATGCACTTACTTTCTCTCCCTGGTGGACTGTACAGTGTATTAAGAGAAAGGAATGAGACCTACGTGACAGAAGCAAGTGAAACAAGATGAACTGTCCCAGACCCCTCTGATCAAACTATTATGAATTCCAGGGTTCTACAGTGTAGTATCCAGACCAATAATAGCCCACAGAAGCAGCATCTTCCTAGTCACCTCTCCATCCTTCAAATCTACCCTAAATCACCAGACAATCCCAGTGATTAAATGAGAAAAAATTACTGAAAAGGAGGTGCAGTACTACAGAACGAAATACAGAAAATTATCCCTTAGCTAGCAATAACGATGTCAATTACATGACATGAAATTAACACTGAATATTTAGGGCTATCAAACTGACCTCTTAAAAAAGACCATACTTCCTCCTGCTTTCAGTTCAAGTCAGGTCACCCTATCATTTAGAAAATATTCACTTGACCATTAGAATTAGTGCCTATACTTTCTCCATTCTTTTATTTATTTTTTTTTTAAATATTAAATTTTATTTTTATATTCCCCCATACAATTGCAAACGCCCCATTCTGACCCCAATCCTTCCCCTCCCGCCCCCCACCCCCAAAAAGTGTCTCTGGTTCATAGTTTTTTGTTGATTTTGATTTTCACTTTCTTATATTCATTTTCCTGGTCCCTTATTTAAGTTTTCTAGATTCTTTTATTTAAAAATTGCTTTTAGAGTGAGAACCTATTTATACTTAACAATCTTTGTATCATTTTCTTAATGCATTGAGATCTGCTTTTCATACTACTGAACTTTTTCTCCTGAGCTAAAGCAACAGCTTCACTATGAAACCAAGGAATCTCGTTTCAGTCACCCAGCTGCAACTACTAGAAATATGGGCATTATTATGAATTTAAATTTTGAATTATGAACAACTGCAGACAGGGAGAATGAGAATTCTCTATAAGCAGAAATGCAGACTGGATAAGTACAAAGTGGAAAATGATGGCTAGCAGATGCTGAAATACATGGATGTTTACAGAGTAAAATTCAGAAGGAACCAGAATAGAGACATTTCTGAGCCATGACCAGTTAAATACTTTACCAATTTTTCTTAAAAGAAGGTACGGATAATTCATTCAAGAATGAAATTTCATTTCGTTTCGTGTGTTATTCACAGTCGTTCTATATTATTTCTTTGCAAGATCTGTCAAGAAGACAATCCTCTAATAGCATAGGTTGTGTCATCTCAACTAATTCTTTTTTTATTGTCCTCATAAAGCTTCTGAGTAAAGGACACTGTCATTTATTGAGGAAATTATACTATGTAATATGTAGTAGTTATGAATGTTACTTTACAATTTAGATATACCAGCTCAGCCACTTAACTTCTGTCAGACTTTGTGCCATTATTTAACCTCAACTTTTCTGTATTCACATCTATTAAAAGTGGGGATAATGACAGCACCTACATTTCTCTGAGTTTTTGTAAGGACTGCAGTTAAGCACACTATCTGGCTCTTGTAAGCAGTGAACAAAATGTTTACTGCTTATTATGAATCCTTCTCAGGCAATGTCAATGTCACAGATGCAGGGAAAAGAGGGACAAATAAGCTTTGCCTTCCCCCCTTGAGATGGCCACATAAGCTCTTGGTCAAGATAAAAAGGTAAGTGTAACAAGATCTTAGGGGGAGTGGCAGGGAAGAGCAGTCACCAAATTTCATCTCTTCACACTTCAGATAGTGTTGTTTGGTTAT